GTAGCGACGAGCACCCCTATGGCACCTACATGTAATAGGAACACATGATACTCAATAATATTTATCACACACGAAGCGACGTGTTCGCAGCGCGTGGTGCGCCTGTGGTCTACGGGCGCGCAAACATCGAAGTATTCTCGTACTTTCCGAAGGTGAAACGTTTGGTTGGCCGGGATGCCCAACCAACCCATGGCATCTCTGGTTTGGTACAGCAAACGTAAGGACGATGGCCATAATTTTGGTTCATCCTTGGAAAACGTAGCCTGGCCCGGCGAAAGCCCGGCATATCGCTCCGTCCCGGCATTGTAGGGAATGCGAGGTCTATGGTCTCACGACTACGTCATGACATGCGTTTACATGATTTGATCCCCCCCTCCACGACGTACGCCCCATCTATTCTCACCGTATCCCCCCTCTCCCTTCCACAAACCGCCTCTTCGGTCCACGCTTGCTGCGGCTGACGCTGCCATCACTACCCCGATGTCATCGCTACCACTGCTGCCGCCATCACCAGCCTTAAGCGGGCAAACAGCAGCCCGACCCCCTCGCCAGGAGTTGAAGGCATCGCCGCCGCAGGGGCCCTCGGAATCGCGGCCCCCCGCCGACAAACCGGCCGCAACCCGAGACACCGCTCTCTACCCCCGCGGGGGGTTTCGAAAAACGCGTCAGCCGGGGGGGGGGGACGGCGCCAGCCCGTCCCCGGTCCAAGAAGGCGGCGACTCCGCTTCATCGGAGGAGATTTCTCTCCGGGAGTTGCACGTGTTTTGCAGGGCTGTTCGCGTCTCGGTAGTGGACGGGGATAGGGGGGAGGTTGTGCTCGGGTCTCTGGAGGGGATGTCGATGAACGTTGCCGCGACGGAGGCAGAGGTGGAGGTGAAGTTCAAGCTGGGCAGCCTCCAGATCGACAACCACTTGCCAGGGTGAGATGAGAGTGGCAACCGGGCGCATACTACAAATAGGAGTAAGAGTAGAGGCGGCTCACGCACTCCGCCGGGCGACCAAATCACGATACCGTTCTGTTCGGTATGCACGTCCGTGTCTGAATGGTGCTTATATTTTCGGAAAAGAGTGGTATGTCATATCGTGCGCCATATCAGGTGCCCGCCGGGGGGGGGTTGCAGTTTGTTGGAGAATGAACATTCCATCGCCCTTAACGTTTACGTTTGTTTTTTCGTTCCGTAGCGGCCCCAGTACAAGGAAGACCGCATTTTGCCAAGGGATTTGGCTGGCCTTTGTCTGGCACCCGGCACTGTTCAGAGTATGGCGTCACCTTGAAGATATCCACCTGTCTCAGGCCATTTCACCGCCCAAGTGCAGGGCGACCGGCCTTATTTGTGTGACCTTTCCACTACCACCGTAGTTGAAGCAACAGACCCTCTCGTGAGAGGGCCGTCGATATGTCACGGGCTTGCTATTGCCGTCGCACTTCGGTACATATCCCCTCACGCTCGCTGTCCCTTTTTCGACTCAATAATTACAAACCCGGACGGCGGTTGGTTGATTCTTCTCCGTGTCTGTATTTCTATTTTGGACAGGACGTCCTTCCCGGTTCTGTTGCAACCTGTCAGGCCTGGGTACCAGGGGGGAGACAACAAGTGTGTTCGCTTCACGCTGGTGGCTGCCCCGCGCGTAAAGAACGTCGCCTACATCAAGGTAAGTCTTCGGGCTGGTTTGATACGCCCGCTCCCCAGAATCAAACCAAAAAGGCACAATTAAAGGTTAAATTATATGTGCCCCCTTTTATTCAGTACTCCTGTTGATGTCATTTCCAAAGGAGACAAAGAAAATGAGAAAATGAGAAAATGCCTAGGATTAAAAAAACACGCACGACCTTTGTACGGTAGCTTCGCGGCGTACAAAACGAAAAACGCTTTCCGGCACCCTCCGGCGGTTTTGTATTGCGGCCCAAACTCGTAGACATGTCTCTGATCGTGCCCTTTTTGACTTTGTGGTGTGCCCGACTGGTGCAGAGGGACGCTGTTTTACTTGGCTCATTCTCGATTTTTATTTTGTCTTCTCCAGTGTATATTTTTTGTTGCTGTTGGCCTTGACGGTCTTGTCGAGCTCCAGTCGCTTGATTATGGTGTTTGTTTGCTGGGCACATTTGTTTCGTGTTTTCTTGTTGCGACGACAAGAAAAGGTGGCCTTGGTGTTGGCTTCGGAACAATAAAACGGTTCTGAGAACCATAAAGACGGTTCTGAAAGGGCAAAAAGTGGTTCTTCGCGTGCATCCCCTCCGTAGTCTACATAGCCGACTGGCGAGCCTGCTTGCTCGACTCGAGTATTTTCGACTTGTACTTCTGTTGCTTTTGCGTTTTTTTCTTGTCGGCGACCAACCCTTCATGAGCATGAATCTCCGCTCACCGCTGCCGTGTTTCCGTGTGCCTCGTAATTCAGCTGGCGAGCCTGAACGTTGAAGAGTTCGACCTTCGGCTAGACGAGGGCATGGTGAGGTGGGCGCAGGGGCTAGCGGACCGGGTGATGTGGACCCTCGTGGCTGACCGGAGAGCCGACGAGATGGACAAGTGGCCGCTGCCGCAAGAGGCCTTTTGCTCGTCTCAGGTGCAACCAGACTTTGAGGTTTTTGTTGCTGTCAAGCACCGCAGGGGGAAAGGTGGAGCACCAGAAAACCCTTGTGTTGTCTTTCTTCCTCTGTTGTTACCCCGGCCGATAAGAGCAACATGTACCGACAGTTGTAGACTGGCGCCAGAACTGACGAGGGCGAAGACTCACACAATGCGCGCACTTTTAATCCGGAGTTTAGGATAGCCTCCTTCATTACAACCCCCGTCGCGGGGTCCCGGATCATGACCTTTAGAAGCTTCTTGTGTCTTCAATCGCACTGAGACCGACGCCTTTTCTGTGGTCAGCCAGTTAGCGTGGTCGATGCTACTAAATAGTGAAAAAACACCCACACGCGTGAATGCCGCAGGGGGCACCGCCGAGAATGGAAGGGGGAAGGGAAAGGGGGTGGATTAATGCCGTTCGTCTCCAAATAGCGTCACTGATCTAGACTATTCCGTAGGTATTAAATTGCGGTTTAGATAGGTTCCCATGGTCTCTGACGTACCACTAGACGTTGCGTAGATATATGTTGCAGCATAGACAGACTTCCCCTGATCGTGCACTCGGTGCCTCGTATGTTTTGTTCTTGCTCCATTGGGCCAGGACATTCCATAGGAGCTTTCGCACATGTACTTCCCCATGAGTGTTTCGTGGAATTGGTAAATGCCAAATTACCCGCAGGAGTTTGTCACGCAATACAACGGGAGGTCATCGCAGCACCCTCCGATGCCAAACACAGCTTATTTATCCCGTGTACCGAGACATTGATTCCCTCGTGCGTTTTTACCCTCTTTTATGCATCGACTCCAACAACAAAACAACGACAAGGCCGGGCATCCAGGGGGAGGCAAGGCCAGCGGAGAGAACATTGACGGGAGTTCAGTGGGCGGAGGCCAAGGGTCAACGGGGATGGTTGTTTCCCGTGGGGGCGGCGAGGGGGCGTTCGCGAGCCGATACGTGTATCTCGAAGTATTCCAGGTGATAGAATACAATATTTGTTTTTTCTCGTGTCTCCGTGTTTTGATTAGTTCAGGGTCGTCTTTTTCCCTTCTCCTGAAAGGTCGATTTTTCCGGGCTCGTCTTCCGTTTTTTTTCCCCCTTATTTATATACAGTATGTATTTTCCTGTTTGGTTTCCGTATATATGTGTCGTTTTGTTTTCCTGTTTGCGTTCCGTTTGTTGTCGTGCTGCTTCGGGCGTACATGAAACGTAGGGATATTGTTGCCCATTCAACAACTCTTCGTCGTCGACAGATGACGACTTTTTGAAGTAGGCCATGCCACGACAAGACTTCACTCGGTTTCCCCTTGACAACGATATTTTCGCCTCAGACAACCTCTTTGCTGTCTGTTCCCCCCTTCCTTTCTTGTTGCTGAAGGTGTCGAGCGTGAAGGTTCGGCTGTCTCTCCAACGGGCCAAAGACAGCTTCGACAACGTGTACGTCGGAGTCAAGCCCGGGCAGATGCTCCTCGACCTCATGATGCGCATGGACAGTGCGCATATCAAGGTTTGCGCCACAGCAGCAGCAGTTGGTTTGCTTTTTGTGTGGGTGGCGGAGTGCATGCAACCATTGCTATCGTCCCAGCAGCCCGTACTCAGCAATACTTGTACTCCCACTCTCTCGGTTGCTGCTGCCCGTCCCTACAGTCATCTTCTCGTGGTAGGTTAGGTACTACACCGCCCCAGACTAAGGCAACGCTTTTTCTACAAACATCCTCATCCATAAATCGACCGTAACTGAATTAGATGCCCTTTTCACCGCGTGATGTCGCGACAACTTTCCCCCCGAAACCGACAGCTCAAGTCTCTGATCGTGCACAACACTACGACCACCCGATCGCGGCTGACCCTCACGGCCCGAGAGCACTACGAGAGGGAGTTGAAGCAGCAGGCGTTCTTGATGCTCGGTAGCTTGGAGGCGTTCGGCAACCCCGTCGGCCTCGTCCGTGGCATGGGCCAGGTAGGTACCATTGCGCCATCTTGCTGCTCCCTACGTATTGCGATGTATTGTCTTCGTACCTCGGGTGTGTCACTAGCCTCGGAAATAATTTACAGGTGACAATCGTCAGGCACATTCTCTTCAAGCACTAGAAATCATCGCGTTTTGTTTCAGTCTTGGGTTGTGCGAAGCTGTGGAGGTAACAGTTTAGCGACGAAGCGGCGGCCCTCAGTGGTGCCCGGGAGCCTGCCGGCTTTCGGCGATGCATGCCGTAGCGCTGATGATGCTGGTGCCAAAGCCAAGCAATTGCAACCGACTGTTTCAGGCGTGGTCTACTCTTTCCTCCGCACAACGAGTAGCCAAGCTGTCGATCCCTGTACCTTGTTCGGTCCGATTCTCTATCCATGCAACTCCCGCGAGGAATGCACGACTCTGCCACAACCAAGCAGTCTTCGGTGGCTCTGCTGCAGGGGCATTTTTTTTTATCGATATCGTCCGCCAAAGTACTCACTTTTGCCCCCCTCTTTCGTTGCCTCAAATTACCCGCCGTTGCTTTTCCACGGCACCCTCCGGTTCTTCCGTGGTGCGGAAATGCCCGTGGTACGGAAACATCTGTGGTACGGAAATGTCTGCGGTACGGAAACATCTGTGGTACGGAACGATCTGCGAAACACAAACGACCATGCAGGGAATGCAAGACTTCGTCAAGGAACCCGTGCTGGGGCTGCTGAAGAGCGTCGAGGACCTGGCCCCAGAAGAGCTCATGCACGGCATGGCCAGGGGGGCCGGCAGCTTGCTCAACCACTCCGTAGGGGGAGTCGCCAACTCCGTCTCTCTCATCACAGGTACAAGCAGTCTTCCCCTCTTTCAAGAAGCTCGGGCTAAATCAACTCCCCGCGTTCAAAACGAGATTATACTGTATCGGAAAAATAGTATGGTGCCGTGTGATCTCAATTATATATAATTGGGGGGGTGGGCATTTCATCTCGCGCCCCCCCCCCCCCCGCCCCCAAACACCAGGCAGGGTAACCCCCTGTCCACAGGCAATAGATAAATGTCTGCTGCTGTACCTGCTGGCTGCGGGTACGACAATATTTCCCCAATTGCTGTAGAGGAGGACCTCGCCAGACGCCATTAAAGCAGATGGTGTCGAGCTAAGAGGAAAGGGGCGGCGATAGGCCAGAATCGTCCGCAACATCGTCGATCAACCACAGAGGCTGACGTCCATTTTGAGGAAACTCGCTCTTATTTGTATGCACACAAGAGGGATCGCGAGTACAGCAGTACAGCGAGGCACAGCAATACCTTATTTCGAAAACTGTCCATTCGTTCGCTCATTTAGCCGCTGTTGCGTATACCCCACCTCATACCAGGCAATAAGAAACCGGCCTCGAGCGCAACGCGAAGTTATTTAGTGATGGCGCGTACGGCTGGACTTGTGGTCAAGATTACGGGGGCAGCAGCAAAAACGCCTACGTACTCTTGGAAGATTTGAAACGTTCACATCGTCGCCACCACGCACTCTCAACACTCGGGTCCCCAAACCGTTTAAACAGGCACTGTGTCCCAGAACCTGACGACCCTGGCCATGGACAAGGAGTACAAGCTGAAGAGGGCGCGCAGAAAGGACGCAAGAGGTACATACGTGTATATGTAGGGAACGGATACAGGCAGACGACGGAGTTCATCGTAAGTCGCCAAAGTCACTGGTTGCGAAAGGCAAAACGGCTATCGTTCTACCCGCGTGCGGCCATTGTGTGTGCATGTGTATATGTCTTGCACCAAAAAAAAACATACCAGTATTCACACACAATACAGTCATTTGTTTTTTTTTGTTGTATCACCATGTATAAATTACAAGAGGCTGAGGACCACCATGTTTTAAAACCCTAACCCTGACACACATTAATTGCCAAGGTTGAGAGCTCGTGATCCTTCCTTGGGACTTGCTACTTCTGTCGTGCGAGCGCTGTGTATGTGTATGTATGTGTACGTGTGCCGCTGCCTCTCCTGTCGGTTAAACGCTTCGTGAACCTCGTACAGTGGAAATCCCCGAGGGTCCGAAGACGGCGGTCACCCTGTATGAGGCGGGTGAAATTGGCTGGCACATGCGGCATAATCAATTTTTACGAACGTTGCGTTAGGCGGCTGCCTCATGTTAGGCGGTCGTTGTCAGCGGCGCCACCACCGCCTTGTTCAAGAACCCCCCGCTGTATACATACACACGTTTTTTTTTCGTGCCACTGCCCTGCCGCAATCGCTGGGCAAAAACTACCAGGTGGGCGTTTTGTTTAGTTGTCGGAGAACGACCGTCCGCGTGCAGCTTGCACGGGGACACAACCCCTCGTCCGTTTTTTAGTCGCCGTTCACATCGCTTGCGAGGTTTGGTTGGCACATTCAAGACAATCCTACGAAATCTATTTTTTCCCCTTTGTCTGGGTTGGACTAGTCATCTTGGGGTGGCGGGGACCACCGAGCGAAATAACATCAAGCACACCGACCCGATCCCTTTTTCAATTTCATTTAATGCGAACCCTTGGTTTTGCTTGTTTTTCCCACTCCCGCCCTCGCCGAGCACGTTCATATGCTACACCATTTCAGGCTTATTATTTGGTAGCCGATGGTTTCCTTTTGCCCCCCCCCGCCTTTGGCAAAGTAGGAAGGAACGATTGGCCATCTGTGATCGGTCCTGTGGGAACAATGCTCCGTCCTCTCGAGGACGCGTGGTCAATGGTCTAACCGCTGAGGCATGCAACACATAAAGAGTACGCCCCCCGGGGGGGGCACGCGCGCTCCGTACCGCGTTTCTTTCAACCGTTTGGACGATTTCAACCGGTTTGCTCTGGAAAACAGGGGAGAACAAAGACGTGCTAGATGGGATCGGGTCCGCCGGTGGCTCGCTGGCCAGGGGCCTCACGGACGGCGTTTCCGGCTTGATCAAGAACCCCCTGAAGGGTGCTGAGAGCGGGGGTTTGGCGGGCTTCGCCAAGGGGGTCGGGACGGGTATGCTGGGGCTCGTGGTAAAGCCCGTGGTTGGGGTCACGGACGCTGCCACGGACTTGCTGCAAGGTGAAAACGAGAAGCAAGACGTGTTTTGTCCCCAACATGCTTCTTTGTTAACACCGACACGGCCGAAAGCAGCGACATGTCTTGAACCACACGAAATAATTGAAACATACGAAATATATTAATATTGTACCACTATTGACTACAGTGGTTTGTATATCAAACCTTGTTTTTTGTTTTGTTTTTTGTCGTGGTGGTTTTGGGTTTCTGTGTGCTCCACCCTTTACGTGTTCTCTCAATTTAGTCGAGCAGCTCGAGGACACGTAGCACACCTATTTTGTCCCGCTTCGTGCAGGACGTTGCCAAAGAGGGCCTTCTGCTAAGAGTCGGGTCTCGGTAAGATTTGGACCCCGCAGCACATCACCCAGCACGCAAACAGTTAATTGGGTTCTATCGTACTTGTACCCATCATGATTGTTTACTTACCTCATTTTCTTGTAAAACCGTATGCATAGGTTGCGCGACATGCCCCTCGCCCTTCCTTGCGTGACGAATATTATTGTTTTTCTTTGCTGTTCGTGTTGCTTGCTGCAGGCGTGAGAGGCACCACGGCGAGCATCGCCCAGATCGGAAAACCTTCTCCCTCGGCGTCCCCCTACCACCAAACCGCGGGGCCCCCATCTGCCGGCCACGGCCGAGGAGGCTCTCTGGGAGCTGCGGGGGACGGCGGCGGCGCGATCGGCGGAGGGGGGGCCGGCGGCTGGGACGAGGGGGTCGGCCAAGTGCGTCCCCGGCGGGTGCTGTACGGCTCGATGAGGACGCTGCGGCCGTACGCGATCGAAGACGCTAGGGCGGCGGCACTCCTGAGGGTGAGTGTGGTATCTAGGCCTCCTCGATCATCTCGTGCCTCAACAGCCAGCCCTTTCTTTTGAGCCTCCGCCGTGCTTGTGGGTGAAATCCCCGGAGAGAGCACGGAAATTACCACCCCTTTGCTGGCTGGACTTGGCGTGGGAGGAGCTCGGTATTGCTACGACATGGTAGGCGGCGAAACTGGTGTCGGTTCGGTTCGCCTCTCCGGCAGCTGTAGGTGGAGGCCAGACGCAGGACAATGAAAACACGAGGAAAACGCGCAAGTACACCTAGCTCTCCTACATGTACCGGCCAGAGCCCGCCCCGCCGACACGATGTACCCCCCCCCAGCCTCTCTCACGCGCTGAATATGTATTTGACGTCTTTGTCTTGTTGGAGCTGATGGCGAAGAATCTGTCAGCAAAACTGACACCCGGGGCGGTGCGGGCGGACCCCGATGCGGCGCAATTTGTTACGACGGGAGTGTTCCCTGTGTAGATGTAGAACACGCGCTCCCTTTTAGGACATCTCACCAATTTGTGGGCGCGATTGTAGGTATCGTTTGGTCTAGCGGTGAAATGGAACGAACCGTCACAGCCATATATATTTTTTTTTCTTGTGTCAACTTTCTTCTGCAACGTCTTCGACCGCGTTGCTGACGGTGCTTGTTTCGGTATCCTGGGAACGGAGCATGTCACACGTATCAGGAATTACTCCTTCTACCTACAGGCGCTCCAGTACAAGCTGCACTACTCACGCCCACAAGCGATTTGCCCCCCACCCCAATGTTCCCCGTTTAGACGACTCGCTACAAGGAAGAGGAGTACGCGGCGCACCTAGAGATCAGCCAGGCAGCCGGTGCGGGAGCGACTTCCAAGCCGACGTCCGCGGTTGTGATCCTCACCCAGTCGCTAGTACTCTTGCTTCGCGTGCCCGGCGGAGAGGTGGTGCTGGAGCAGCGGCTTGCCGGCATCCAGGTGTGCCTGGAGTTCGGACGCGAGGCGTTCTAAACCTCACGACGTCAAACATTCGTTAGCGTTGTCAAGGGGACATGTTTTCTGGAGCTACTTCTTCAGCTACCTTTGGGTTTATTGAGCTCTGCGTTTTCCCGCATCGGTAGAGGTGCCTCTAGCCAGGGCAGCGACCGGTAGGTTTCAGACAGGATGTTTTGGGAAGAAAAAATAACTGTGGAACTCCCCTCATTGGCCGGCTTTTCGATTCTGACGGCGGCCACCCGGCCTTCTCTGCTCCCTTTGGCAATCGAGTGCGGTATGCCCCGCCTGCATGTCGAGCTCACCAGTCCCTTCAGTCTACTTCTTTGTACCACGACTCACTCTGGTGATGGTTGCGCCTTGTGTTGGCTTCATTGGGCGCCTCTCTTGACTGGCGCGCGGGTACAGGCTGTGGAGATAAAAGCAGAAGGGGTGCTGCTGCACCTTCACCCGCCGTCAACGCCCAAGGCACCGCGACAGGGAGCCAGTGGGTGAGTTTCGGAGTCTCGACTTATCTCTCACTTTCGCTGCCGTCCTGCAGGCTTTGTATGTCGCCGTGACACCTGCTGTGTGGATCCCACGGCTTGTGCGCTCGCGTGTTGTGTGTTCTCTTGTACAACAAGGAGTTGACATCTGAATATTGTCTGCTTGGAGGTCCCGTGCGCGTGTCGGCATTGCCTCCACCGCTGCTGCCTTTTGTCACCCGAGTGTCAAGCCCAGCTTCGTGCTCCTCCTCCCCTCCGCGATACCTGTTCTTCCAGCCCCTCATCTCAAGCAGGTCGTGCTCCACTGTACCCTTTTCCCGAGAGTCCTGACCCCGGCGCTGGCACCCTGACACTGACCCATGTGTTACGTTTCTCCCGGCTGCCCCTTCGCACTGTAGGGAAGGTGACCGTGCTCGCCAGCTCAACCCCGACTCCCTTGTCTCCCGAAGCTCAAACCCTTTCTAGCCTTTGTCTATCCGCCGTCGACGCCGGTCGCCCGTTTTCGTGCTCTTTACTCGACCGCACGCTTCTTCCAGATATCTAGGTCTGCCCCCGCCGCCTTCGGAGGAAGACGACGGGCCGGGTGGCGGGAGAAACCGCGGCCGCGTGCAGGCACGCGGAATTCCGTGCCGGGAAGAGGCGTCGAAGCGGCGGCTCTACGATCTGTTGGATGCCGCGGTAAAGAATGCAGCAAGAGCGCTGTAGCGGCGACAACGACGGAAAACTGCTGGCTGGAGTGGTACTAGGTTGTAGCTGGATGCTTTCTTTCCCTGGAGTCTTTTGAGTTTTTTGCGCGGTACGGTTTGCAAGTTGGATGCTGAGTGTTCCGGGAAGTAGCCATTTTTGGGGTGGAGAGAAGTTTGTATCGATGGAGGCCTTGCGGATCCAATCTCATGTGGACGATGTATTTAGAAGCTTTCTGTGGTGCTTGTCGACGCTGCAGCCAAGCGGCGATTTTCTTGCGAGGTGTGTATTTGTGTTCATTGTCTTTTGGCATGTTTTTCTTTCTTTGTGCAGAGCCTTACGTGAGTCGGCGACCCGCGATACACTTTCAACATACCTAGAGAACGAGGAGACGTTACAGCATTCTGTATGATATCGCGACTTTTCGCCGCCGAAACTCTTTCTCGTCACAGACGCTGTGAATCAAACTGTAGACGTATCGGGTTTCTATGTGAGATCGCGGCTTTTCGCCGCCAAAGTATTTCTCGTCACAATAGCTGCCAATCAGAATGTAGAGTCTGCACCGATTGGGTTGTATTTGGTCTCGAGGCACCCTCGCCTGCGGCCGTTGCACCAATCGGTGGTAGTCCCTTTTCGGGAAACAGGGGGCAATGTAGCGTCCAGCTCGAAGCAGTATGCTGGCTACACCAAACATTTTTTTATGTTGAGATGCGTGAGATATTTTAACCCGCCGGGGGGGGGTATCGAGTGATAGTTGGGCTAGCCCAGGACTTTTAGGGCCGAGTATGGGGGGCTGCGAAGTGGTGGCCGTTGAACGACTGACTCAGTTGAAGATGATCGTCGGGGGTATCTTGAAAACGTAAGGAATCTGCAGCTCTGCTGGGTGTCTTGTGTAAGGAAGGTCGTGATGAATCGGTGCTTGTTTTCGCGTGTGCTGGGTAGACGTCCTAGTATTTGTTTTCTTTCGTAAACAATATTGGTGATTTGGAAGTGCACATTGTATGTTGACGGAAAACCCCCATGAGTCGTTGTTGAAAACCTAGCAACAGAATTCCGAATCTCATCGTAGCGTTTTTCAACCTGAAAATCGTATCGTTGGATTTGAAGAGCGGCGTTGCATCAGCGTAGGTTACGGGCCGAGGAGACCGATCGGTCCTCAGATAATAGCTTCTTGACCAAAGCTACCACCCGCAGTATTGTACTCATGGCTCATGAAGAATAGTTTGGGTCATTTCGTCCCTCACCTCCCTGGTGTGTGTTCTTCTCAGGGTAAGCGATATTGTTCCGAAGTTGAAACCCACCGCTAAGAAACCTGTCTCCACGCCCGACTGTCAACGGTGGTGTTTATCCCCAACTTCCATGAAACGAGGTAATTAACTCCCAGTTTCGGTTCTGGAGTGTTTACTTTCCGAGGCGTCGACCGCAGCATTCGGCTGACCAATGAAAATACGCCAATGACACAAAAGTACAGCGAGATGAACACGCGAACACACTGTTTACGTAGTAAGTAGGCTCCCGGCACAGCGGCAATGAGGGGTTGGACGACACGGTCCAGCCTCCGGATTTGAAGCAATTGCACAATACTGTTGAAGTGAGTGCGTGTGCCTTACTTCTTGAAAACAATTGGAATTAATAATATATGAATGGACCTCTCGGAGATTGCGAGTCTCGGAGATTGCGAGTCGGACATCGCTCCCATTCGAATACGAAGTACACCGGGTAACGAATCACTTTTGTACAAATCAACCCAACATATCAACCCCAATACCTGTGCTGGCCGTCGCCAGCCGTCACCAACCACAGACTTCGCAAAATACGACACTGTCCACCTCGAGTTTATCTCAACACGATTTGTCCATACATCGACTTGTTCTCTACCCCACCCGAATCTCTGAGCCCGTGGACTGAAAATACCAGGCGATCGATCTATGGGCCATTATTCTCCATGTGCTGCGGGAGTTTCTTCATGCGTTCAAAACGCTTCGGCACAGAACTTGCAGCACAAATCAGTACCTGAGCCCACTCTAGACATCATATTTTTACCATTATTTCAACGATATTTCGGCAAGCACTCCTATCATGGTATCTCGGGGATTGTCTCACCACATCAGACAAGTCTCCGGCGCACAACTTTGTCTACTGCAACAGCAGTGCAACCTTGCTGTTACCAATCTATTGCCATGCTTATTGTTGAGTAGCAATGTCGGCACGCAACTAAGAGGGAATAGAGCCAGGAGGCCACCGTGCTATGGGCAGCCAACATGAGCCAAACGCGTGCTCTCTACTCCGCAAGAGAACCTGCGCGCGGGATCACGTGCGCGATCAGCAGCGAAACAGCTTCGCACCGTTCGCTTTGTCGTCAACCCAGACACCACATGAAACTACAGTATTGTACGGAAGGTAGACACCACCTACACTATGTTCGGACGCTTTGATCCTTGTTTGGCTACTCACGTGTAAAAATACATAAGACATTCCCTGTACAACAAACATCCTGCGCTGATGTTCATATCAAAGTAACAACGATGAGATATTGAACACACACTCTGTACTAATCCAAAGCCCGGAATTCTACACCTGACTGCGGACCATCGATCGAGAAGAAACATCAGTCTCCGGAGATGTTGTGTATCGTCATCTACTTTCACGAGTCCACTCGATCCCTTGGCTGGTGTGACCAAACCATTTCGAGGGTTCTGCTCCAAAGACTTCACACAAATGAGGCTCACAGCAGCCCAAGAATAACTTCAAGTGATCTTTGTGGCACGGCCCCTCGCCATCACACCAATTCGATCTGTGTCGTACAAAGAAACCTCAACTTCAAGACAGACAGCACCTTACCTAAGCTGTGCCACCCCAACCGAGAAAGATTCCACAACGACGCTTCCAATCAATCTGACTTCGAGTTAAGAGAAGAAGCCTCGACAACCGGAGGAGCCGTAGGGACACGCTCCGCGAGCACGAGCGGAGTCGAGTCTTTGGTCAGCCAGCCGAACAACACCGAGGTCACCGCTCCGAACAGCCGGCGCCCGGCTCTGTACATCCAGCCGATCTTGGTCTCCAGGAGGGATGCCACGGACCAGTGGTCTGTGTGCGAGCGGACCAGCCCGTCGGAACCGACCACCACCACCGTGAAGCACCTGCGCGAAAGCGATGGCCAGAGAAATACGTACTCTGTTATGTGAAGAACGGAGGAGCCTCTCTCTCGCGAAAATTGCGGCGAAACACTCGCCCGAGGAAACAAATCCACGTTCGTTCGGCCCCGCCGCTGCTGCCACCATGGCAGAAAAAACCGGGGGGGATCGTTCTGATAGAAAATGGACCGTGGTTGAGAACATAAATACCACAAACAATGCTGCAGCGGTACCATACCCGCGTCTTACCGAGCGTAATGACTGATGTCGGCCCCATGGCGGATGGAGGCACGACAGGCTACAACGCGAGGTGCTCGTAGCCCCTGTCGAAACTCGAACCCCGTGTACCTGCCGATCACATGTTCAATCGTACCTGTAGCCTGAGAAAAGAGCACCTCGCACTTCTAAGTGCTTCTACCCGGAGTCAACGCACTAGGAGTTAGAGTCTTCCCCGGCCAAAGCCTTAGGAGGGAGGGCCTGATGCTTGACTCCACTCACTTGAGGCGAAAGGAGCTGAACGGCCACAGCTTGGGCTTGAACACCATCGTTGTGTCCATCGTTAAGGTGCTGCAACAGTCGAAAACAGGAACAACCGCGATAACAAGGCACGGGGAACGAACACGACAGAGGGAAAAGAGACAGGGAGAGAGGGAGCTGACGGAAACGTGATTTTGAAAATGGATGTCTTGAAATCGCTTTTTCCGCCATTCAGAGAAGGGACATCTGTACACACAATTCCCTCGACCGTCCAGCCAACTAAATGCTTACCGATCTAGTCAGCGTCCGCGGAATCACGACATCCCAAGGCATCCCGTGAAGTCCGAACAACAAGCAATCGAACAAGAGACCATGGAATACAACACAGCTTGGGCCAAGCTTCCGACGGCACAACTACTGCCGCATCACGATACGGGATGCCTGGCGGCTTGGGCTCCCTACGTGGTTGCACATCACGCGGTTGAAATAGCCATCGTGGGAAACGAAAGAGATGTTTAACACTGAGTAAGTACCTGCTCAAGACGTCATAGTGGCTGGAGACAAGTTCTGCCTTGGAAAATCTCAAAAACGCGCGTAGGCTCCGGAACTGTGCCTGGAGAGACGAGCAAGACAAAGAGATTCGCGAGGAGAGGACGGTTTCCTTGTAACCCTGAGGGAGGCCACGCTCCGTCGTCGTCCCTGCAGCACGGATATTCTTACTTTAATTTACGACACGGGGGTTTTCGGGCCTCAATCTCTTTCCATTTCTTCGTCAGGATACAGGAGCCGGTAACACACAAGCGCAGCACTTTTGGGGTCAGAGGGTTAGAGGGATAGTCTCTGACACGGCTCAACTGCCCATCTCCCGCAACCATGATTTCTCGGCTTGTGTCTTTCACGTTTTTCAGGAAATGTCGCAAAGCTTAGGTTTCCCAAGAAAAACATCCTTCTGTCGTGTCCTCATGTCAGATCTAGGCGCCGTCAGTCTAAAGCAGCAGTTCGTTGCAGCGCAAAGCTCTGGGGCTGCAGAACATTCCAGGCCATATTCGGATACGGATGTGGGGGGCCGTGGAAAAACTTTCCGTTGTTAGATGTACAGCATATCCACCACGCTACAAGTCGGCGCTGACTTGCTGAGTTGTAGCATAGTGGATATGCTGCACATCTAAGAGGCGTCATCCTATATTTTACGCAAACACAACCCACCACGAACTTGGTACCTTACCTTCACCTCTCGATGCCCCCTCGTGGAGACAATCGGGTCCACGAACTTGCAACGGCGGTGATACGCCTCCGAGATAACCTGGAACGAAGCAGAAAGAAGCAACAAAAATAAAAATCTCTACGTGGAGTGCGTCGTGGTTTCGCGACTTATATATCGGGTTTCTTGGGCGGATCGGTTCTGTTTTAACTCGTATCATTGATGTAGGTAACTCCCAGACTTCTCGCAGATGCGTGTGGGTGTCTACAGTACCAACCTAACAGCAACGGGCCTGCCTGCCACGTCTACGAGTGCGACTCATCCTCCCCCGTTGATACAGCATTGGCCAGGCGGCTGTGTCTGCATACGCTGGAAATATCAACACCCACGCCTTACGCCACCGGGCTAAAGGTGGGCTGCAAGATCACCGGCAGTACTTGCTCGGGCGGTATTCACCGTGTGGTCGACATCATTTTTTACGTGCGAAAGTTACATTTGAGTCTCGTACTCAAGGGAAGTTTGTACTGTTAGAAAGTATCAGGGAGATGAGTAACAAACACACGTGCTGCGTATGGAACCTTTATGGTATGCATATGGTATCGATGCGAAGAAGCCAAACTTCAACGGTGAGCACCAATGGCCAGACTCGCTGTGCAAAGGAGGGGGCGTCCGGGACGCCGCCTGAGGATACTGTATCACGTATAACGTGCTGTTCGAGTCATTTCGCACAACTTCGTAGCTCAGGAAAATGCCGCGCTTGAAACTGCTTGTCTCGAACGTGCTTTTCGTTTGAAGTGTGTTGTAAAAATCGAAAAATTGACAGGAATTGTTCAGTAGGACACTTCATTCCTCCTATAATACAGTATTCCTCGTTCCTACACAGCACGAGATGAGCAGGGAACATACTGCTACTGCACGTATTCGGCTCACCTCCCATACATACCCGCCACTAAAAATAATATTTCGCGCGAAGCGCGGACAAGAACGGGTGGAAAGAGAGGCGCAAGCAGGCGTAGATAGATATGCATGTAGCCTCATACAGAGGCCACCACTACCACTACACACGCTCACACCTCACCCGAAACCACCAGTCAGCCGTGTACGCAGGGCTGCTGCTGTGTTGCAGCGCGGGCACGAGTGAACGTGAGGTAGTGTGGACGGGGCTCTCATGAATCAGCTGCTTGCTGTTGCTGCTGCTGCTTCAGCTGTGTTGAGTGCACCACTTTCGTCCCTAGCTTACGCTCGTAGCAGCAGGCAATGGGCTTCAAAAATTGCTCTCGATGTCTCGTACGATGTGTTCCTTTGTCGGGGTTCAGCTCAAGGTAGCTACAGCAGTAGCAGTGATCCTTGAAACGTCGGTACATACACGTAGACTGTCGCCTACGAAGTAACGTTTACGTTTTCGTAAGGACTTACGTTTTCGTAAGGACCGCACTTTCGTGAAGCAGCTGGCGGACGTCGACAAGACGATCAGGCTACCTAGCTCACACCGCGTGCACTATTGGATTCGTCGCCCTCGCAGACATCAACAGAATGCGCCCCCCTTCGCAGAGAGCAGGATGTCAACCTATGGACATGGACAGCTTCAACCACTACCGCTGCGTTTGAGACTCACCGCGTCGGTGTTGGTGTCCAATGAGTAGAGCGACAACACTTTGCCTCGCAGCGCTAACGACGTGTCGAACTGCACGCCTTGGATCAAAGTTGATTGGTCCATTATGTGAGTCTTTGCATGCACGCGTGCAAGTCGATAATGCCGTGTGTGCCCTCAGATGCTCAAAGGAGCCAAGAGTGTGGGCATCAGGTGCAACACACGGGAACCACGCGGAGTCAAGCGGAGTTTGAACGTGGTTCCGCAGATGATAATATTTATCTTCACCCCGTATCCAAGGTAAATACAACGGAGCCTAAGGAATGAGTCACGGAACCCCTTGTACACCAACACTTGACCAACACAGCAGTGTGTGCTGGACTGACCGCGGTTTCGTGCCTGCTCTCCTGTCTCTCCCTATATACGCATTTCACAGCTGGCGTTTCACAACATCCTTTGGTCTCGAACCACATACGGGGAATAGGCCCTCTGTTTGGTTCTGCCGGGTGGCGGCGGAACCTGTGCCGTTTCGGTCCCACGCCGGGTGACTTTGTAGGTCCGCAGGTCCGCGTGGTGGATTCCCCCGCATTCCCGTTCCCATATGTGTACTTTCCCGCGGCGGTGGCAGCCACGAGCCAGTGGGGGCGTGCTGACTTCCATCGATTCACACACCTTCTCTCGGTGGTAATCCGAAACAAGCGTACTACAGCCGTTGGAAGTCCGCTATCGTACACTGCGCTACAGTTTCTTGTGTGCTGCTTCTGTTGGTCGTGTCCGCTGACGTACACTCACGACAGATGAGCTACCATACCAGCATACCAGCAGTATCCTACAAAGTATGCAGATCTTGCTTGGTTAGCTTGTCGAGCTGCTCCTACAGTACGGGCCCGCCACTCACGTGGGCCCGCAGATAAGAAACGTCAATATCGGGTCGAGAGGACCAGCTTCTTGATTCCCTCCTCCTCTCCGCCCACCTCTAGCAGCACCCAAGCCCCAACGGCCGCGGTTTCGTCCGTGCTCCAAACACTCCAACCGTTACTTCACGCTGCGTGTGTGCTTCCATCAGAAGCGTGCAGCGTGACGCGGTAGTCGTACGGTTGTGACGCGAACGTTGAGTTGCTCTACGAGAGATGACTCCCCCGAACCAAACCGAGTTTTTACGAGCTCCCCTCGCTTCACTGCAAACTGATCAAGGGCAGGCTGTCGAGACGTCGACAATGCATTTTGATCTCTGAGGACAAACCACTTCTTCAAGGCCTCCAGAGAGGCGGTGGAGAGTGCCATCAAACCCTACAGCGCACAGCATGTGGTGGTCCGCGATATATATGTGGCAGAACTACAGTGGGTAGCGCAGCCCGCGGCGGCACCGGGGCGCGGGGGGCGGCGCGAAAATAACCACTCTCCCCCTACACTAAAAATATGCACTGTTCAGCTAGGGAGGGGGGTGAGAGCACGGACAGAGCAGCAGTGGGGCGTTTCTTATTGGACAGGCTCCCCCAGCTACCCGTTGTTCCTTACGTTTGGCGGTATCGCACCATCATGTTTCTTATTGGGACGTTTCATATGTTGTGGCCGAGATTGGGCTGGGTTTCTTACCCCTTTTTTCATATTTTTCGTGAAATTTTGAGCCTTTTTCTGAACAGATATTTTCTTAACTGCGGATTTCTTAAGATAATTTTTCTGAACTGCGGGCCCGTACTGTACAAATACTGGGTTGTTCGGCATAGGAGAGAATCAGCGAGTTTTGTGCGCCGAGTGCGGAGCTCGCGGTGTTGGGATTGGGTAGAAGGTGAGACGGTCCAACAGACTTTGTCTTCTTTCCTACTTGGTACACCTCAAGGAACAAAACGGGCACATCTGAAAGCAAGTCGAACAGTGAGCGGACTTTTCAACGTTGTATGGTAGATGCCAATGAACAATATGGCCCGCATGCCGGTGTACACAATAGCTTCATGAAATGCATTTAGATCAACACAGTGATAATCCGAAACTCGGCGAGCAACGCGGAACAACGGACCTTCTCACAGACCTTGTTTCTTCCCTCTTCGTGACGACAACAGACGCCTCCACGTCCAGCGAGTCCAATACATCGGGCACGATAGATAGCCGCGATGCGTTCAATGGGAGTTCACAAGCTTACACTACCCTTCAAGAAATGTACCACGCGCAATGTAGCGGCCGGGGGATCAGCACCAACGATCGAGGACCATCAAAGTCTACACGCAACAGCATCACGGGAACGATCAAGGGATCCTAGTGACAATTCGAGGACGGAGGTGTTTGCCCTGACGGAATCTTTCAGCTCCACCGTCTTATCTCAGAGAAGTTTGCCGGAGAATCCTTAGGTAGGGTTCTCCCAAGTAGGGTTCTCGAGCGAATAAAGCAGCGCGCGATCTACAAGCCAGGGGGGCTATGCGCGATACGGTGATTTCGTATGCGGTATTCAATAGCAACGATGCCCAGGGGGAAACGCCGGGGCTCCATTCAAGCCAGTGTTGACGATAGGTCCCATCCAATGAAGTGACGCTTTTCAGTACATACCAGTACATGTGGCTTTCGCCGGACCCATCCTCGAGTCTCCCCCTTTCTTATATTCTAGTCGACCCAGCTCGTCTGGGACCTAGATTTGCAATCATTTGTTTGGGCTTGGATACAAGATCCGATCTGGAGAGAATATGAGTGGGGGGGGTATGCTATTGGGGGTCCAAGTGCTGGTCCCCTCGAGAGATAGCACGCATATGTGTTTACAGTACCAGCATCAGTAGCAGCTGGTATCCAACGAACGCCCGTAGCTTGTTCACCACCAGCAGCAGCAGCAGCAGCTACAGTGCGTGTAGCAGAGGTTCATGCCACAGCAACCGGCGCAGAAGCAACCCACGCCCCAGCAGTGTCGCCAGCAGCAACTCAACCTCTACCGCAACAGTCTCGTCAACAGTAGCAACCTCTACAACCCTGTAACGGCGCTCCTGGTACAGCTCCAGCTTTCGCCCGCGGACCGTTTCCGCAGCAGGGGAAGAACGGTGGGTTTGGCAGCGAGTCTGTGTGTTAGCAGCAGCAGCAGCAGCAGCAGCGGCAGCCAGGCGTGATGTGCGGCGGTGGTGGTGGATTTCAGCAACAACCGCGGCAACAATAGCTAGCGGCCGGGTTCACCGGGGATGTGGTTGGACAGGTGAGTGGTCGGGTGTCTGTTGACGAGAACGGGGGGGGGGCTGCTGCCTGTTCGTTTGCGGTATTTACCGGTAAAAACCCCCGCAACGTAGCTTATCTCAACGAATACACACACCCCACCACTCGCTCTCCCCAGGGGCCGACGACATCACGTGTGGCACATGCAGTAGCGCGGCAACACCGTGAGCTGGATATCATGGAGGTCAGCTACAGTAGCGTACTTCGGAGAAACACGTGCTTGGATCGATCGTATCACGTTGTTGAAGTTTCGCCGTCGGCAGAATCGCAACAACCCAAGCAGTCGGTGCTGCAGCAGCAGCCAGCAGCCTCACCTGTGCCATCATCATCGGTACACATCGATGAGATCCGTCCTGCTGCCCCATCTACAACGGTTGGGATATGTGAAATGGCGTCGGCACCGGCGGCTGCGGTGGTGTGAGAAGAACAGTCGGAGGAAGCGGCAAGGGCGACGGAAGCAGCAGTGTTGGTCCTGGAGAAGCCTTTCTGAGCAGCAGGAGAGTCGACAGCAGCGGCGTGAAGCGGTGGAGCCTCTTCCGATGCTTGGGCGGGCGGGGTAGTCAAGGTGCATGCACCGGCAGCGGCGGAGGCAGCGGTGGCCAGATCTGCAGCAGCGGTGGAGACGACGGCATCTGCGGTTTTTTACCCAGGAGGTGCGTGAGAAAGGAGACCACAACAGCGGTGGTGAGAAGGAGAACCGGAGCAGCGGTGGCCGCAGCAGCAGCGGCGGAGGCGGTGGAGATGGTGCGGCCTGGGTTGGAGCGTCAACGCATCCCTTTGACAGAGGGAAGCGGTCCCATTGGAGGAGAGCGACGAGGGGGGCCGTGTTGGGAGTGGACCTCCCGTTCGATCGAGGTAGAGATGCAATGGCACATGTCGGGGGGCGATGCTTCGCACCGAGCGGCCCCATCGGCGGCAACGGCGGCAGCAGGGGCGGCGACGGGAGTGGCGAAATCGGCCAGAGCTGCGACGGTGGCAGCGGAGCGCAGCGGGAGCAGCAGCGACGATATCGGTGGCATCGCCCCGAGTGACGGCGGCGACAGAAGCACCACCGGCGTCAACATGCTCAACGGTAGCAACGATAGCACGGGCGGGGAGGGGGCGCGTGAGTGGGGGAGAGACTACCCTTGTCTGTTTTCCCCGCAGAAGACGACAAATACATGGAAGAATCGCCTCCGAGAAACCATGCGTTGATTCGTTTTTGTCTTGATTTTGACATGTTTTCTTTCGGACCCGAACTTTGCGTGACATGCAAAAATCCAATGGTTGTGTGTGTGATCGTAGGATGAGGTGCCGTGCAGGGATAACTGTCGTACAGAATCTGCTGTTTGTACTGCTGTCAAGAACCATGGGGGGGGATGTGTGTACCATGTTTCTAGCCGCAGAACCAGCAGAGTAGGGTGCTTTCCTGGAGTTCTGTTCAAGTTGGATATGTTTCGTTCTTATGTTCTTTGCGTTTTCTTCGTTTTGCTGTGTTTTGCGTCAAGAATCAGGGGGAGGGCTGTGTTGTCACGATTCCAGACGCAACACCAGCGAATGCGGACCTGTTTTTCTTGTATATGCAGGGCATGTTTCAGCTGGGGGGCCGTTTGGTACACTTTGATGTTTCGATATCCTCTGTTGATTGAAAAGGAGAAAATGAGAGGAAGAAAGCGCAGGCAGATCTATATGTAGTTTCGGGGAAATGTTTCAGTTGGGCTGTTGCGTATTGATAGTGGTGTTGATATTGTTGTCTTATGCCAAAAGTAGTGAGAGGAGGGAGGCCAACATTTGTATGTTTCGGGAGATGTTGCAGCAGGGGGTTGTTAGCATGACTGTTTATGTTCTCTATCGTTGCTTGGACAACAGCGGCGTCACCTATTCGCTCGTGCGCGCTGTTTAGGATTTGGTCCTGAGACGCTATATTGGAAGTAGGGTTTGACACGTTTTGACGTGCAATGGTTGGGGTCCTCGTACCTTCGGAAAGCCCATTTTGATTGATCTAGAAGTTGAAACTACGTTTAAGTGGA